CCCCCACCTGAGGGGTGGACAATACCGGTGGCGTGGAAAGATATTGCTTCAGCTCTTTGAACGACTGTTGGCATTCGGCCGTCCATGCGAAGCCTTCTTTTTTCTTCATGGCTTCGAAGAACGGTATGGTCTTGTCCGCCGCCTTGCTTAAGAAGCGACTGAGGGCAGCCAGTCGACCAGTCAGCCGTTGCAAGTCTTTAACGGTACTGGGAGGCTGCATGTCAATGATAGCTTGAACCTTCTCGGGGTTGGGCTCAATGCCTCTCTTGGTTACCATGTACCCCAAGAACTTCCCTCCTTGCACCGCGAAGGCACACGTTTTTGGGTTCAGTCGGAGATTATACCTTAGCATCACCTGGAAGCAGTCGGCCAAATCCTCCGTGTGCTTGGTCTCCTCGCGGCTCTTGACCAGCATATCGTCTACGTAGGCCGCCATGGACTTCCCCAATAGGTCTTGGAACAGTCGGGCGACCATCTAAGTGCAAGTAGCCCCTGCATTCTTAAGCCCGAAGTGCATAACTCCGTAACAGTTCACTCCGTCCAGCGTTAGGAAAACGGTCTGATGGGTGCATGAAGATCTGATGATACCCCCTGAAGGCGTCCATAAAGCTCAGCAAAGCCGACCCGGCGGTCTCGTCGACCAACTGATCAATCCGTGGTAAAGGGAACGGATCCTTCGGGCAGGCCTTGTTAAGGTCGGTATAATCCACGCACATTCGCCAAGCTGGAGGCTTCGGTACGAGAACTACGTTCGCCAACCACTCTGGGTATTTGACCTCTCGGATATGGCCCGCAGCCAGCAACGTGCTCACCTCTTTTTTCACAAACTCCCTCCTGTCGTTGGCCAAGTAACGCTTCTTCTGTATGACCGGCCGGTGGTCCGGATCTACGGCGAGTCTGTGGGCGATGATAAACCGGTCGACACCCGGCATGTCTTCCGGGCCCCAAGCGAAGACTATTCGGTGCTCTCGAAGTACCCTGATGACTTCCTCTCGTATTTCTTCTGGGAGTCCGACCCCGATCTGGACCCGCCTGTCTGGTCGCTCTGGGTCGACCTCGACCTCCTCTAACTCCACAGCCGGCTCCGGGCGGGGTATCATTGCTTTCTTTGGGGGTCTTTCCGTGATTTCATGGACTTGCATCTCACGTTTACCCATTCCGGGCGGGGTATCGTTGCTTGCCGCGTCTGCTTTCAGCGGCGACTGCGGGGTCACTGTCTTCCCGGGCCGCCGACCTTCTCCTCCACTGATTAGGAGGCGGGGTCCCTTGTTGGATGATTCCTTCCATGATCTTCTTCAAGTAAAAGCACTCTTCCGTGCTGTGAGTATAAGATTTGTGATAACGGCAGTACTTAGAGATCTTACCTGTCTCCTCGTTCGTCAAGCGATTGTTAGTCGGCGGGGGTGGAGGTGGAGCGACTGCTTGTACCTCGTGTACCGGATGTTGAGAAGCCGGTCTATAGGGGTGAACGACAGGCCTATCATACGGACGCCTAACTTCGGACCGGCGAGCCACTTCCGGACTCCTTTCCTTAGTTTTCGCGCGAGTCCTCTTTCCACCGGCGGATCCTCCGACTTCACGCTGTCGTTTGTGCTTCATGGCCTGCTCTGTGTTAGCCCTCTTATTAGCTATGTGTATGGCTTCCGCGTAAGTGGCCGGGCGGTTATCCCGCAGATCCCGGTATAGCTGCCCGGATCGCAAGGACTCGATGAAGAAGGTGAGCGCGGTCTGGTCCTCGACCTCCTCGATAGACTGGATATCCTTTTGCCAGCGAGCCAAGTAGGTTTTCAAGGACTAACCTTCCTCTTGGTGGACGTCTCCCAAATGAGTTAGATCCTTTTGTGGTTTGATGTTGGCCGCATAATGACTCATGAAGCGATCTGCCAGCTCCTCAAAATTGTGAATCGACCCTGGAGGTAGGGCTACCAACCATCTCTGTGCCGAGCCTTTTAGCGTGGGCAGGAAGGCGCGACACATAACCGGGTCCTGGACTCCTAAAACTTGCATCTTGGCCTGGTAGCTTAGCAGGTGCTCTCGTGGATCGCCGGATCCGTCGAAAGTGGCCTGTTCCGGACACTTGAAGTCACCTGGTATCTTGTATGTCATGATCTCGGTCGAAAAAGGCAAGGCGGTTAGCAGCGTTCGCCCTTGAGATTTGGTTTTTCCCTCCACCTGTTCCTTTAGGCTTCGCAGTTCTTGGGCCAGGTGAGCCACATCGCCTCTATTGCGAGTATGGTTTCCTGTGGATTCGGTACTTTCGCCGACTTCTGATTCAACTTGTCGGTCGTCATTGCGCGCAAGTCGCTCGGTTCGGCATGCCCGAGTCCTGGTTCTTCTGGTGCGGGTTCTCTCGCGACCGGCTTCTCGATCTCGGAGGCCCGCTGGTACGCGGCTGGGCTCCCTCCCCCCCAGTCGTTCTCTTGCTGACTGTCGTCAGGCGTTCTGGCCCAGCCTCGAATGGACTGATCGTACTGGTTGACTCTCCGCCCGCCGGTTCTCTCGTCTGTCTTCCGGCCTCTGGGAAGGTTGCTGATTGTGCGGCAGCGGTCGAGAGACAGACTGCTCCCTCACCCCTCGACTTGCGTCAACGAAGGCTCGCCCGATCGCATGGAGTTGCTCCGGGGTGAGGGGTATCATAGGCGGCTGTGCCATTTCGTTCTCCTGGCTTTGGGCGTTTCGTTGGTTTAATTGCTATCTCAAATTCGCTTCCGACCCATTATCGCGGTTATTCGTCTGGCCTCGTCCTTCCAACATGCTGTGATACTTTCTCGGTCGTCTTGCGGACTCGCCTTACTCAGAAAGTCACGTAGCTCTTTGTTTCGTCCCCACAGACGACGCCAGTGTTAGTTTTAGGGTTTTTGGGCCCAGGGTGGTCCAACACAACCTTGGTCGGTGGATTCACCTTTCACAAAAGCTCTAAGAAAACGAAAGAATAGTTGAAAGAGTAGTCGGAAACGTGTGTCTTTTCTTACTGGGCCTAGACTCGCCTCGATTACAAGGGTGGAGGGGCCTTTATATAGTAGGCTCCTCTACAGCCGAGTTGAAGTATATTAAATATCGCCTTTAAGGCTAATTACACTATAAGACCGTTCGGGCGCTGTTACTGATTCGGCCAACGGCTCCCTGGACCCCTAACGGTCCGTTTGGTCGAGTCCTCTTGAATGCCGCATTGAGTGCTCCCCCAACGACTCTTGGACCGACTTGAATGCTTCTTAGCGGCTCCTGGGCCGGGTCTCCTTCCCCACTTGGGCCTGGGCCGACTCCTGGACTCGGCCCAGGCCACCCTCGGGCTTCTTCTTTTACTAACCCATATCTTCTATTTTGGACTCCTTCTCTTTTGGGCCCATCTCCTTGGGCCGGGGTCCTCACCCCATCAGGCGAAACAGTAAAATAAAAGAGATATTTAAAAAATAAATAAATAAATTACCTAAGAAATATATGTGTAAATATTATTGGATATGGGCGAAAAATAAAACATATCAAAACTTTATAAAAATATTCATAACAAAATATGAAACATAATTAATTTGATAAAATAATTTGAATATATATGTATGTATATTAAATATTAAAAAAGCAATTAAAACGTGACTGCATTAAAACCATAGGGAAGGAGCCAAAAAAAGTGTAAAATTATATTGACAACAAAAAGAATCGAACCCCTAACCTTTAATATAACTACACATATGTTTTACCAACTAATCTAACTCATTTCTTATTAACAATCAACAGTTTTGATATACTAATACTCAAACATGTAATATATATACATATATACATACACATATTATATATGGTGGAGGTGGGGTGTGGGGGGGCAGCTGACCCCCCCTGCCCCCCCTTTGGCTCCGTCCATGGTTGTAACGATACTCTAATCTCTCTCATTCCCAAGGTCCCAAGCATGTAGTCAGTTAAGCAACTAGGTCCAATAGGGCTTTGTAATTTTACATATAAGCTTATCACTAAATTTGTGGCTACAAGGTTAAAATCTATTTCGTCTAAGCTGATCAGGCAGCACCAAACCAGCTTCATCCAGGGAAGAGACATAATTGACAACATTATTGTGTATCCAAGAGGTGTTGAATTCCCCAGAGATTTAAGAAAGGGATTGTTGGATAGATGGTGGTGAAGGTAGATCTTGAGAAAGACTATGATCGGCTTTCATGGAACTTTATAGACGATACACTCCAGAATATTGGATTTAACCAGAAATGGAGAAGGAATATTCGGGAATGCATTTCCTCTCCAAGATTGGCTGTGTTATGGAACAATCTTGCAATTGATTGGGTTTTACCAACATGTGAAATAAGACAAGGAGATCCTATCTCTCCCCCCCCCCCCCCCCCCCCCCTCCCCCCACATTTTCTTTGTGATTTGTATTGAGAGGCTTAGCCACAAAATAGAAGAATCAGTGGCTATGGGTAAGTGGAGAGGTATTAGACTTTCAAGAAATGGTCCTAAAATTTCACATATATATATATATATATATATATTTTGCAGACGACTTGGTGCTTTTCAAGGAGGCCACGGTGGAACAAGGATTGGAGTTGAAGAAATGTCTCGATCTTTTTTGTTCTACATTCGGCAGAGAGTTAGCTTCCACAAGTCTTCGACTTTCTTTTCAAAGAATACACCCAAGAGCTGCAACAACATATTGTAGACGCGATTGGCATCCCTAGTGTGTCCGACCTTGGTAGATATCTTGGCATGCCATCTTTCCATGGCAGGCTGTGCAAGGATACTTTTTCCGGCTTAACTGAGAAGATTAAGTCGAAGTTAGCAGGCTGGAAAGACAAAACACTTTCGTTGGCAGGGAGACAGGTTATGGCGCAGTCAGTCCTATCTGCATTCCATATTTTGCTATGCAATCTGCTTTGCTGCCTTCGGGGATTATCTCATCAATTGAGCAGTTAATTAGAAGTTTTTTATGGGGTAGTAATGTAACACCCCACTTTTCTTAAACTTAATTAAAGTTCTAAAACCGAATTAAGATAACTAAGCAGCGGAAAAACAAACTTAATTAACAAACTTAGTGGGAATGTCACCGCCACAACCACCTTCCCACGGTGATTGCCCAGGCAAAGGGTAAAACTAAACATCAAGTCAAACTAACATCCAAAATTTACTACGTTAAAGTAACTTGGGGAAAAGTACCCCGGTGTCTATCACCAACAAAACATAAGGTGTCTACATCCATAATCTCAAAAATAACGATAAAAGATCAAAGAGTTTAGACAACATAGCAACTAACTACACTAGTCTAACTCGAGCACTCTCAAGAGTTGGGCCCACCTGAAAGGGGTTTTGCAAATAGACAAGTAGAAAACACCCGTTAGCACGAAGCTAAGTATAACTCCACTCAACCCTGTAAAATACTACAGTATATACTTTGAAAAACATTTGCTCACATACCAATTCAAGCAATCTCAATCACTTAAACAAACTTTAAGATAAACTACAAGCTTTCTATATGCTCGCACCCTATAATATCAACATGCATGCTTCATCAATAAAAAACTTATCAACATAATCATACTAACACATAATCAACATAGCAAAACTCAACTCTATAGAACAACTCCATAACTATCTCATGCTATCAAGCAATTTGAAATTATTCTCATGCTTTCAAGTTCTCATCAAGCAAACTTAGAGATATAAGACAGCGTGCACACCCCCTGACCAGGATTCCAAGCCTGGTGGGCAGTTTCCAACCTCGTAACGTGGGAATACACCGCGTTACATGTCATCAGATCGCAATGTCCGGTTATCCTCTCAGAAAGGACATAGTCGTAACGGGCCATCCAAGACCTCACTGATATAGATAATAAATATATATATCTCTCATGCACCAAGCTTATGCATGTCATATCTCAACAACTTCTCAATGCAACAAGATAATGACATACCACATGCTCATGAATTTTGGAAAATAATACTTAGGCTCACGTTGGCCATTTATGCACTTATAAAATATGATATGCTTGGAATCTAATTTACTGCACAACATACTTCAATTCTATATTACTGTGAATTTCTCAAAGAACACTTAATCATGCTTGAAATTCAAAACAACATGCTCTGTATAGTACACTTCATCAATTGAAATCTGACTATAATCTCCAAGAATCATAGAATACACTTTAGGCATACTCTTCTAACAAAACCTAAACAATTTGTGATCATGCTTCTCAATTTAACATGCAAATAGCATCATACAGATCACATAAGCAAAGCCAAGTCTGATGCTTCTCAAATAACATTACTGTAACACAATTGCTTCACAAAATCTATCACAAAATGCTCATTTCTAATCCAAACTCAACAAAATCAAAGTCCAAACGTGCGTCATGACGGCCCCAAGGTACTGAGCCATAAGCGCCCGTGACATCCGGTCCAAAACGACACGTAGCTGAGCCACAAGGGCCCGGCCACTGCACAGACAAAACCAAAGGAGCTTGCGGCGGGGCTAGAGGAGCCCCGCTGCCTGGGACCACCTCGGCAGCGGCCTAAGGTCACAGCCCTTGCCTTGGGCCGTCCCGTCACGGCTCTAGCCAGCGGCTCCCCTCATGGGCCGTAGGCTAGGCCCGTGACTTCTATCTGGTGCACACTGTATTGTGCACCAGAGGCTTCTTCTTCACGTGTATAGCAAATTCAGACAAAATTCCACTTCCAAAACATCACCAACACATTATACAACATCAACAAGTCATCTAATAGCTCAATCACACAATATTCCAACATTTCTACTCATTTATAACTACAAAGCAGTGACTTCACAGAGTCAATAAGAGATTGGGAATCCATGGGGTTATACCTTTAATCCGAGCTCCAAAGCAACGTATTCAATTATTGAGCTCACTCGATAGCCACTTTAACAAAGAACCTGCAGATCAACCGATCCTCCTTCGTAACTCATACTATTATGATTAACGATAATAGTATTAAACTATATCTTGTTATCTTTAATCCACTTAATCCCAGCTCAATCAAATCATAACCAACCATTATTAGACTGTATTATGGTCTTAATCCTCCCCAAAACAAGATACTAAAATTACAATGTTAATAGTAAGATTCAAACTTAGAACCTTCTTCATGCCTAATCAATTACTTAACCATTACACTATACTACCTCATTTAAATTATAGATACTACTGAAACTAGTTGGGTCTTAATCACCATTAATAGTTACGTATTATGACATTAATCATAAGTGCCATCATCCTCTACTTAACAATATTATTATATTATTATTTCCACGTCTCCAACATCCCATACACTGATCTTCATTAACAAGGCTTCCCTAATCACAACATCATCAACTCATAATCTTCAACAACTTATCTATACTCACAGCAACACCTTACTACCTCACCTTCCTCATTCATAAAACTCCAATAGCAAACAAGCTTTAATACAAGAAAAGGGCTTTACCCACGGATTTGATGTCCGCTGCCAGAAAAAGGAAGGTCTCCGCCACTCGCTGCTTCACCATATTTGCTCGTGCCTGACCGGAGAACACCAAGTCCATTGTTCCCCGCATCTGCTTACTCACCGGGAACTCCACCACTGCTACTATTGACGAGAAGAAGAGAGAAGGCGGAGGAAGCCGGTGGGGTTGTTAGTCTCCTGTTGCTAACGCCGATCCGCTCCACTTGGAGGTCGTCAGAGCTCGCCGGACCATCACCATGTCGCCGGTGGTCTACGCAAGGAAGAGAGGAGACGGAAGAAATGGGAAAGGGGCTATTTGGTTTCTGGTGATTCCCCCACAAAACAACATATATATAATATATATTAAAACCATTTTTTTTTTATTTAGGTAGGGTTTCTAAAAATGGTTTGGGTCATATTTGGAAGGTTGGGCCAAAATACTTTGGATTTAGATAATTTCTTTGGGCTCAAGAATAAACATAGAATAGAATTATGTTTGGGCTTCGAAACTTTGGACAAGAATAAATTACATATGGCTCAAAATAATTTATTCATCACGATTTCCTCGCAAATTTTTTTTATGGAATGAAAATTGGCTAATTTGAAATTTCTTAAAATCGGATTTATAAAATAATAATTTGGGTTGTCACATTCTACCCACCTTAAAAACAAGCTTCGTCCCCGAAGCTTAGACTGAAAAGAATTGAAGGGATTGGATAGAGTTTCTTTGGAAACACAACTTGAGACTTGTTATAAAAAGGCTTTAGGGCCAATGAATATGATAAGAAATGCAAGATTGCTCTTAGGGATGCTATTGATTAACAGCATGATCAAGATTTTTAAGATTACCACTTAGGAGACAACGTTGTCACCTTGAACAGAAACAATTTCAAAGGAAATCAAGAACGAGGTCTGAAAAGCCAGAAGGGATTTCTCAACGTAAGGGGTAAACTTTCCTATAATGAAGATTGAGGAATTCCATCTCAAAAGGGAACATAAGTTTGACTTGGAAGGGGTTTCTTCGGTTTCACGATTCGATCAAAACGATTGACGATTCGATAGCTCTCGTTCTTACTAATCTTCGTCATTGCCTTTCAGATGAATCTCTTATAAATATCATCTTAGTCTTTCAACATTTCAATCCCCTTATCAAAACTCAACTACTTCTTACCTCATTCTCATCATTAACTTTCCTTCTTTAAGCTTTCACACAACTTATCATTTTCAAGTTCACATCCTTTAACTCATCATTTCTTAATTATTTCAATTCTTAATTTCCCACTCTTCATAAGATCACACAACCTACTTACACCTTTTATTCTCATCTTCATATATCTCACAAGCCAAAAGTCATTGTCAATCGTCTTAGACTTCATTTCTTTCGGAGTTCACAACTCTTGTCTTATCCATTTACTATCTCTTCAAAGATTGAGGGAATCATCTTCACGTTTGTTCAATCCATCCTTACTTTTAACCTTCGGGTTTAATCTTTGAAATTCTCTTCACCATTGCTCTCATAAGCATCTACTTGGATGGGTTCGACTTCTTCTTGCATCAACATTTACACTTGTTTTTCTTCCACGATTGTGAATCCTTAACCCGCGGCCTTTAAGCTCTAATCACTTCCTTTTCTTCCTTTTGGTCTCTAGTTGCACGAAGATTCACTTCAACCTTTGGGGTTAGCTTATGTCTTGCAAACGATGTTGCACGCGTTATGATGACGATCGTCTCGAGCCAAGACTGTTACAACTGACTCCAAACCGCATGTGGAGTAGCCTTCTTCATCAGGTTCTTCGGTTGTCTTAGGTTCGTCTCGAGTGAAAATTGGCTAATTTGAAATTTATTATAACCGGATTTATAAAATAATAATTTGGGTTGTCACACGTAAGGATGAGGAAAGGAGGATATCCACCTTATCAAAGGGGATACGATCACAAGGTCTAAAGCATATGGTTGGTTGGGGATTCGGCAGCTCGAGCCAATGAACCGTGCCTTCTTAGCCATGCTTGGGTGGAGACTTCTACAAAACGAAGATCACCTCTGGGTTCATGTGTTCAAAGCTAAGTATGGCCTTCAATTGAATAATTGTATCCTGGTCCCCAAAAACCAATATGTCGAATGCTTATAAAGGCATCATCAAGGCGGTTCCTATCCTCAAAGAAAGCATGAGAAAATGTGTTAGGAATGGTAGAGACACACAGTTTTGGTTGCATACTTGGCTTGGAGATAGACCCCTGAAAGAACTAGCAATTGAAGATCCTCCGGCTTGCATAGAACAGTAGCCAGTTACTAGTCTTCTGAAAGAGGTTGGTGTTGGGAGCAGTTTAGTCATTGTCTGCCGGCCCAGTCCATCTCCAAACTTGCGACCTTCATTGTTATAGATGATGCTGAAGTAAATTATGGTATAAGCTGGGGGGAAAGAAGCCTCGGGTAGGTTTACAGTTAGTTCCGCATACAATATTGCGTCTGGGGATGTATCTGCTCCGGAAGCTACGAAATGGAACAGTGTTTAAAAACTTAAAGTTCCTAACCGCACTCGTTTGTTTATGTGGCTTTCACTCCATGACAAGGTTATGACTAACCAAAATAGAGCTAAGCGGGGCCTAACTGAGTATGATAGGTATTGGTGATGTCCCGAAGATCTGGATCACGTTATTTGCAGCTGTCCAGCAGCTTCAGAAGTCTGGGGTGCTATTTCTCCTTCCTCTTCTGCATAGGTCAGGTCACTCCCATTCTCTGCTTGGCTCGAGGATGGGATATCAAACAAAAGGGATGGCAGAAACCCGTCAAGTAGCAGTATCCAGTTTGCTATAACTGCTTGGTGGATTTGGAAATGGAGGAACGACGCCATCTTTAACTCCACGGTCAAGCCTCTTCAGTTTAAGATCGCTTGGATTAAGTCCCAGGTTGGGAAAGTCAGTGCCGCCTTTGCAAGAGCGAAAGGACCAAGGACATCATCAGAACTATACACATGGAAGAAACTGTGTTGGACTAAGCCCCAGGAAGGCTTCGTCAAAATAAATGTTGATGGTGCAGCCAAACAGAATGCAACGAAAGCAGGTGGTGGCGGGGTAATTCGTGACGAGTCTGGCAAGTGGGTTCATGGTTTTGTTTATAGCACCGGGAGTTGTTCGCCACATGTAGCTGAAGCGTGGGCATTACTGAAGGGAATTCAACTAGCAGCTCAACTGGGATTCAAGAAGGTGATATTCGAAAGTGATGCTACATACCGAGTTAGTTGATTACATGAATAGTAGCATTGCTCCGTCCTCTATAACGCATAATATCCTGGAGGCTTGCAAGAGAGAAACGGTCTTTCGAAGTCTAGCATTTGTTAACTATTGCCCGGGAACAAAACCAAATTGCCGATTTCCTTGCTAATTCTTCCTTTCGCTTCTCAAGAGGAATTCATATCCTCAGCAGCCCGCCTGAGGAACTCCTTGGCTTATTGGATGATGATTTGCTTGATTTTTCAATCTAGTGCAATGTATGTAATATGTGAATAAATAAATAAATACACACAAACGTAAGAATTCCATCGTGAGACACAATTGTAAATAATTAACTTATTTTTTAAAAATAATATATATTATAATTTCTTCTTGATTTGAGTTTCCATCTATTCAAGTTTTGATAGGACCAAAAACATAAGTTAGTAAAAAAAAAAAAAAAAAAAAAAGGAAACCTTTAGCCGACATGTAGTAAGCTGTGTTTTTCTATTTTGCCGCCGGTGACGTCCTTACTGTCCTAGGAATCTTTCCTATTTCGGACGAGTTTTAGGCATAAAGACAGCAAATATGTTGTTTCTATACTACTAAAAATCAATTAAAAAACTCAAAGCTCGGCGTTTTTTCAATCACCTATTTAATAAAATAATTAGTTTATCAGTAAATTTTGACTTATTTAACCATAATTAATTTTATTTTTTTTTTGTTGAATACCATTATTAATTATTTGACTTGGTTAAAAAAATCAATATAAGTGTTTGGTTAATTAGCATTTTGTAATTTCAAAATGTTAAAATTTAAAAAACTGCTCAAACCAACTTTTTCAATTAACTTTTTAGAAAAAGAAATTATTCCAAACAGCTATCAGCTAACAGCTAATTTACCCAACACTTTGGCCCTGTTTGGTAAAAAATTGGCCTATAGGCCAATTTTGGCTTATTTGACCACTATTATTTGTTTGATTTAGTTAAAATGTCAATATAAATGTTTGGTTAATTAGCTTTTTGCAACTCCAAAAGGCTAAAATTCAAAAATCTACTCCAAACAACTTTTTCAATTAGCTTTTTGAGAAAAGAAATTATACCAAACAGCTATCAGTTAACAGCTAATTTACCAAATACTTTTCTACAATCAGATAATGTTATCAACTATTTATACCCTCTAATTAACACAATCATCTAACAGCAAACAACTATCAGCTAACAACAATTTTACCAAACAGGACCTTTACTACAATCAACTAATGTTAGTTATACCTTCTAATTAACTCAATCAGCTAACAGCTGTCAGCTAACAGCCATTTACCAAACAGGGAATATGAAGTTAAATTTTACTAACATGATTCATACCAAATTTAAATTAGTTTCATAGTAATTAAGATATTGGATGTTGTATGTAAAATTAAATAATGGGAAAATGGCACTTTTTCCCCCTATGTTATATACTTATAGCACTTTTTCCCCCTCAATTATTTATGTAAGCACATTAGCCCCCTCAATTATTTTAAAAGTGGTGGTTTTCCCCCCTAATATATTAAATTGACATTTCTACCCTTAAAGTAAACATTTTATTTATTTTACTTCTCCAACAAATTATTGCGTATATGTAGCGATTACCACGGTTCGGTTCGAACTGAACCAGACACTATAGCAATCGAATTAAAAGTTTTCAGTTATGATTCAGATCTAGAACCCAATATTTGGATTTCAATTTATTAAATTTAAGAATAAAAAAAAAAACTGGATCATGAACCGGCAGTTCCGGATCCCGTTCGTGATTTTGAACCGTCTTTATTTTAAAATTTTATTTTTTATTTTAAAATAGTTTAAATTCAACAATAAATGTATTTTATTTTTTCAGTTCGGAACATGAACCGGCCATTCCAGTTCGCGATTTTAATAAACTCTAAATATCGCGTTTTGATTATAAATTGTAATTGGAATATTTTGGTTTGGTTACTATAGTATCTGGTTTGAACCAAATTATAGTAATAATTTATTGGAGAATAAAAATAAATGAAATATTTATTTTAAGGGTAAATATGTCCATTTAACATTTCAGGGGGAAAAAGAGCCACTTAAATAATTGAGGGGGAAAAAGTGCTATAAGTATATAACATAGGGGGAAAAAGTGCCATTTTCCCTTAAATAATTTTTAAAATTGATAACGTTGAGTAGATCACAGATTAAAATATAAATCATTTGGATTGGTTAGCATCTTTTAACTTAAAAATTATAAAATAAATAATACTGTAAACAATACTTTGAATGAGAAAAAAAAAAAAAAAAAAAAAACAAGTCAATCTGTTAGGACTCTTGTAATTTTAGTTGTAGTATAACTTTGCATTATTTATATAATTCTCATTGTATCCCAGACACGTTGAGTTAATCTGGAATACTAGTCTTAATCTGGTATCAGTCGCTTAGGTTTTCTTTTATATGACTACCTCCGACGGCTCTGTTCGTGTTTCTTCAAAGCGGACTGTCTCTGATGCGGTTGATGTTCATTCATCGTCTATAGCTATGAATTTGTTGTCTACTGCTCATCATTTTGTGAGTATCAAATTGATGAATAGTAATTTCTTGTTTTGGCGGATGCAAGTTGTTCCTTTTTTTACATGGACAAAATCTGTTAGGCTATGTGGATGGCTCCATTCCTTGCTCGTCGCCAACGCTTCCTCTTCCGACCAATGAAGCTTCTTCCCCTAATCCGGCATATGCTCTCTCGGTGCAACAAAACCAGACGTGTTTCTTCTTAGCTGACTGTCTCCGATGCAATTGCCGTTCATTCATCGTCTGTAGCTACGGATTTCTTGTCTACTGCTCATCATTTTGTGAGTATCAAATTCATGAATCGTAACTTCTTGTTTTGGCAGACGCAACTTGTTCATTTTTTACGTGGGCAAAATCTGTTAGGCTATGTGGATAGCTCCATTCCTTGCCCGTCTTCAACGCTTTTTCTTCGGGCTAATGAAGCTTCTTCCCCTAATCTGACATATGCTCTTTGGGTGCAACATAACAAGGCAATCATTTCCATGCTTATTTCCTCTCTTTCAGAGGAGAGTTAATCCACGAAATTTATTATTTTTGTACAATTGGGTCATTGTACTTAAAAATGTGCAATTAAATCATCAAACAAGGAAAATATGTGCAATTGGGTATTTTTTTCAATTTTTTTTGGTGAAATCAGATCATATTACTTACATGGTATGTACTAAGAGTTTCTTTCATTTGTAATACTAGTTGGGAGGAAATATTGAAATGTTTTTAACTCAAATTGCATTAAAGAAATCCAAAAAATGTCTCAATAATTACACATATTTTACTTGTTCGATGGTTCAATTGCACAATTTTTTAAGTTCAATGACCTAATTGCACAAAAACAATGCTTTTTTTTTTTTGGAAATAGAGAGGGATAAACCCGGTATAGAACTAATGATTTGCTCCGCGAGTGACCCTCGCCCCCACAGAATCCTCCCACATGACGTCTTCAACGATCAAGGGCATGTCAGTAAGGACTCGGACACCTAACTCATGGGTGGTGCCCATCGTGGCGAGACGATCAGCTACTCGGTTTTGCTCACGTCTAACATGTTTGAACTCTATGTTGTGGAACCTGCTCAGCTCATGCCCACACAGTCTGATGACATTACTCACTCCTCTTGCTTTGTACTCACTGCCGGACAAACGTTTTATAATGTCCAGCGAATCACTCTCGACGATGAGGTTCCTGGTACCCCATGCGGCCGCCAGGCGGAGTCCTTGTAGAACCGTCCATTCCATTATCGCTATTTGACACTTTCTCAAAAAATTAATATCAATTGGGATATTAAAAAATATATATATTCCATTATCGACGAACTTCCAAATCATTTTGAATATATTTTAGGAAAAATTTATATGGACTATTTCACAGATCCTTGTTCGTTAGACGGGTTGGGTTGTATACAACTAGGTGTATGTAAGTATTACAATTTCAGTTATAAGTATTACAATATTCAGCATCAGTAAGAATGATTTTATCATAAATAGTATCACAATTTCACATATAAATATTATAATGTCTAATTATAAGTTTTCAAGATTTGGTATTAAATATTATATAATAAGTATTATGATTTCTATCATAAATAACAAGTAATTATCCTCAATTTGACCCGTCTTACATATTAAAATTTATGAAACGGTCTCACATTAGTGTTGCTCTTTTAAGAATAAGAATATCCTAAACAAACAACCCCAAAACAAAATCTTAGGGGGGTGTATTCAATCATGACTTTCATAAACTATTAAAGACTTCTATGAATTTTAAAAGCTTTGGGATATTCAATTCAAATTTTTAGGGAGTCTTTAAAAGTCAGACGGTATTCAATCAGGATTTTTAAAGAGTCTTTAAAAGTCATGTGGTATTCGATTAAGACTTTTAAAGAGTCTTTAAAAGTCATGTGGTATTCAAAAAGTTATGAATTTGGGTATACTTGTTAATTTTAAGACTTTTGTAAACTTTTCATTCTCGAATATAAATAGTTAAAATCCAACCCTCAAATCCAAGATTTTAAAAATTTCTTTCTACCAACTCTTAAGAATTTCTCTCTCTATTTAAATCTATTTTTTCTTCCTATTTAAACTTTGTAAACCTTATACTTAAATTCAATAAATTATTCTTTTCATTATCCTATATGTAATATGTTAAAATGGTTTCAAAATTAGTGAGATACATCTATAAATAATTAAAGACGTAAAAGAAACAACACATATTTTTTTTTTTACTTTTTCATATATTTAATATTTTTCGTAAAAAAAAAAAAAATTCTCAAACGTTTCTTGATGACAAACTGGATTTTAAAAAAAAAAAAAGTTTGTTTTACATTTCTTTAATTTAGGAAACGAAAATGAAGAACAAAAAACTTCAAAAAATATAAAATAGAAAATTCAGCGCCACGAACAGTAGCACCGTGTTTTTGTTCGCATTCTCAAATTGCTATTGCAAATAGTTGTCCTTTGCTTGATGCCTAGCAGTATATATATATATATATATATATATATATATATATATATATATATATAGGGATGCATTCAGGTGCGAATAAGTGCCCAGGAAGGAATATGCGAATGAATCAGCGCGCGACACGTGTCCAGATCTAATAGCTTAAAAAAATGCGGTGGCATTTTCGTAAATAATTGAACATCAAAGTGCAAGTAAAATCACTTAAAAGTGCACCTACTTTCACCTATAAGTGCATGTAATTTTGTCTTGTTAGCATTCACTTCCCGCAAACATTCATGCACTTGGGTGTGCTTATAACTATAGGTGCAACTATTTATAACTATAGGTGCAACTACTTATAACTATAGGTGCACCTACTTTCACCTATAAGTGCATGCAATTTTGCCTTGTTAACATTCATTGATCTGAGTTTAGCGGGTAGTAATACCCCTGAAAACCACCCGCAAACATTCATGCACCTAGGTGCAACTACTTATAACTATATGTGCAACTACTTAGAACTATAGGTGCAACTACTTATAACTATAGGTACACTTAGTATTGATACTCTGTGTAAATTTTTACTTGCACCTATAATACATTTAACTTGCACTTCGATGTTCAATTATTTACGAAAATGCCACCGCACTTTTTTTTTTTTAAAAAAAAACAGTGTTTCTCATCCATTAGATCTGGACACGTGGACGGACAGAATACATTCCTATTTCGCTCCTGGGCGAAGCATTCGCACCTGAGTGCGATTATATATATATATATATATATATATATATATATATATATATATATATATATATTATTTTTATTTTTTATTTATGCAACTTGTAATTATATTTTTAAATATTTTATTTGAACAATTCAATTACTACAAATTTTAGTGTTCAATATTGTTATAAATTTCTTATGAAATAGTTTTTTATGCTTATTAATACTATATAAGTAATTAGCATATAAGTCTCACTATACTATAGATAAAAATAATAATGTTGATGTGGTGAAGAACTATATAATAAGAAGAATTTTATGATATATTATAACATGTTTTGTAAGAAAATTATAAATGATAAGAATCGAAATCATTGAAAGTTTGTAAGGATGTATTCAATTTAGAATTTCAATGACTTTTGTAGACTTTTTAAAATGAAAAAGTTGATAAAAGTTTGTGAATATTATTTAGGAATAAGGCTCAAATTAGCCATCGAACGTAACTCAAAAATGCAATTGGGCCACTCAACTAAAAAAAAAAAGTGAAATTAGACCATTCAACGTTGGAAACCATGCAGTTTGTCCCAAGTAACCTGTCATTGCAGGTTACCAACAGGTAATTAATTAAAAATTTAAAAAGAAAAAAGTTTCGAATCGTGGAGAGAGAGAGAGGTCACCTTCAACTCACCATTTCTCCTCCAAACCTTCAGCTAGCTTTGTTCATCCCTTTCTCCTTCAAATCCCAGCCGAAGTCGCATCTCACTCGCCTCTCTGATCCCTTTTTATCTCTCGACCAGCAACAAGGAGATTTCAGCGGCAGTGGATGGCGACCCTACTTTCCCGGTGAGCATCAGCAACTATGGCACAAGGTAGCAGATCTGGCGACATCCAATTTCTCCTTCCGGCGATGGACAACGGGCAGACGGCGGTGGTGACGGAGATATAAGCAGCGTTTGTGAGCTCTATTTGTGGCGCCTTCTTAGTCTCTGGTGTGCAGCGGCAGCGTTCCGGCGATGTGGGGTCTTCACTAGTGTAATGGTTCTGGTGGCGATGGCGGCGAGCTGCTCTCCCTCTTCCCTCGGCAACCCCTGTTTCCGACGAGACAGAGTAGGTGGCAGTGGATGGCGAGTTTTTCCAGCAAAGAGAGGTAGTGCGCAGTAGCGGCAGTCCGGCGGTGGCTGGTTTCAGTGAGACGAAGCTATTCCTCTCTTCAGCCGTTAATTAAGACCACAGCCGACGCTGCCGCCCTTCCTCCGCCGAAGTTGTCATCCGACACCACCACCGGCGCTGCATCCATTTTTTTTCCTTTTGTTTTAAATTTTTTAATTAATTACTTGTTGGTAACCTGCTAATGTAGGTCACTTGGGACAAATTGCATGGTTTTACAACGTTGAATGGTCTAATTGCACTTTTTTAAGTTGAGTGGCCAAATTGCATTTTCGCGTTACGTTCGATGGCTAATTTGAGACTTATTCCTATTTTTTATATAGACTTTTATAGTCTTGCAAAGTTTTAAAAAGTCTTGAATGATTCTATAAAAGTCAATAAAAATTTATTAAAATCTATCATTTTAAAAGTCTACAAAAGTCATAATTGAATACACCTCACTTAATGTTGTTAAAACTATATTATTGTGTTATATATTAGAACTGTATTTCTTTTTTTGGTTCTATACTTGTATTTATGTTCCGTATAGTTCTTTGTTAATGATTATTCTAGACTTTCACTTTTCATCCATGGAAGTGAACAATTGTTCCAATTCAAACCCATTAACCTATAAAGGTTTAACAAAATAATACTATATGTATCTATGAATAAAAATACTTCCTGACAGTGTATTATATTTGATTAATTATACAACTAACTAAAAAATCTCTTGATTTGATAATTGATGAATTTAATTACTCGGGATGGACCCGAATTACTAAATCCGATAAATAATAGATAGGAAAAGGCAATGAATATGTGTCGCGGGGACAACTTTCATATTGATAATCTTTCGTAGGAGAATTACAAGGAATATTTGATATTTAGACAAGGTAGTAGATGTCCTCAACAAGACAATGATCCCCATTTTTATACTAGCTAACCTCCCAACCGCCCACCCTATTCTCGTGGGGCGGTTGGATCGCGGTTTGACCGAGTCCACGCGAGGACCCGGGGCAGCCTTGTGCCCTGGGGTCGAGGTAGGCCCCAGCCGTGGCCGACGGGTCGAAGTAGACCCCTGCCGAGGTCGACCTTGGCCGGGCCGCGGGAGTCCCCTAGCCGAGGCCTTAGTCGGCCCATGCTGGGGCCGCACTTGGGCCCTTGCACCACGCCTTCCGGGTCGACCTTGGCCGGGCCGCGGGAGTACCCTACCCGAGTCCTTAGTCGGCCCGTGCCGGGGTCGCCCTTGGCCCCTTGCACCACGCTTTCCCAGGTCGGTTTTCCCCGAGCCCGTTCCTAATATATCCATCATCAGTCCCCCACTCTCCGAGTTGCGAGTCGTCGTCAACGAAGGAGAGTAGCCCGAGTCGAAGGTCGGCCCCTCCCAAGGCCGACCCCAACTGGGGTCGCCAAAGTCGCTTCACATTGCGCCGCGACCACCTCGGGGCCCTTTGCCCCTTGCACCACGCCTTCCCGGGTCGGTTTGCCCCGAGCCCATTCCTAATATATCCATCATCAGTCCCCCAATCTCCGATTTGCGAGTCGTCGTCGACGAAGGAGAGTAGCCCGAGTCAAAGGTCGACCCCAATCCCAAAGGTAGACGTCCGCCCCGCCTCCTTCCTCTTTGGCCGACTTTGATGTGTTTCCATCGCGATCGGGACTTCTTCTCTACAAGAATACTTATAAGTCTTGGACTCCTCGGCATTGTGTATAGGACTTTGATTTCTGAGTTCACTTTACTTCTTTCGTGCGCTTCCCTTGATGTGTCCTCCTCTTCGGCGAGCTCATGAGGTAGCCGTCCTCCTCTTGGGCGAGCTCATGAGGTAGCCGTCCTCCTCTTGGGCGAGCTCACGAGGTGGCCTCCTTGATGCGTCCTCCTCTTGGGCGAGCTCATGAGGTAGCCGTTCTCCTCTTGGGCGAGCTCATG